TCTTAAACTTGAACTTGAATAAGAGTAGACTTGGCCTTGCATTGGAGTCAAAAGGACGTAGGAGGATCAGGGGGCAGCCTTGGGCAGCGCTTGACTTGGGTGAACCCTTGGGCGGCGCCCCAAGTGCTTGGGCGTTAGCTCTTGGTGCTTTGGGCGTTGGTCTCTTGCGCGCTGGCCTCTTGGGTGTCCGCCTCTTGGATGTTGGTCTCTTGGACGTCCGCCTCTTGATGTCCTTTTGGATTTCCTCTTGATGGGTCGATCTAGGTTCAATTGGGCTCTTCTTTAGACTTTCTTTGTTTATTTAAATTGGATTTGACCCAGTCAAATTCGGGCTCATCAATATATTTTCTTTACTTCCACAATCTAGAAAAATATTGACATTGATTAAAGCCATGCAATAAGGTAGAATAAATCACAACATTTGTATTTATTTATAAAAGTAATTTCACCTTATCTTGCTCAGTCGTGCCACTTCGGTTTCATCCATTAATAGAAGCAAGACATCTACAAAATTTGTTAACAAACGCTTGAATCTTTGGCCACCGTTGTTATAATATTTTGTCAGATCAAGCACTATGAAATTGCTTGTGAGTGAGATGATATTCCCCTCCTGTACCCAAAATGGTTGATATTTTTGCTCGTTTCCATGTACCACATCTATACTGGTGTTCATCCATGCAATAACAAGAAGACAATATTCTTTTTTACTGTATCATGCACCTCGACTGGCCCTTTTCTTATGTGATGCTTGAGTAGGAATTTCAGGTGTTTCACCAGAAAATTGCGATTGTTGTATTGAAAAATCTGGGAATTGGGAGTATTGGGAATCCATGATGAGATTGAGAAAAAAAAAATTGTAATCTTCAGAGGAATAAAAAATTTATAGCGGTGGTAAGAAATTCCAACAGGTAATAAAAAAATTTGGAAGAATTACACCTAGATCTCTTGAGATTTATCATTTAATCACTTAAATCTCCTAACATTTAAAATATTACACACAGATACCCTAAAGTTTGTACGAGCGTAATACTTAGACCCCAGTCGTCAAATGTCTGTCAATATATCAATTAGTAAATTACACTCATAACCTCTAAAGTTTGTAGGCTGATAATACTTAAACCTATTAAATATAAAATGTTATACTTAGATAAAAAATATTTCATTTGAAGATAGAATATCAAATATTTTAAATTTTAAAACAAAAATTCATGTTTTATTGTATTGTTTATTGAAATAAAATCAAAAATAAAAAGCCAATTTGTTTGAAAAAAATCATAATAGTACACAATTACACTATCTATTTTAATAAAACTAAAAAAAATCAAACAAGAGGTCTAAGTCAATATAACATGAATTTTAAAACTAAAATTCATGTTTTATTATGTAATTTATTGAAATAAAATTAAAAATAAAAATTTAATTTTTCTTACAAAATCATAATTAATATATAATTATATTATCTATTAGAATAAAACTAAAAAATAAAATAAGAGGTCAAACTATAATTGACACAATATATTCTACCTTTAATTGGGGGTAATTTGGTCGTTTAAATGACCAAATTAAACTTCAATAGATAGTATAATTGTATACTAATTATGATTTTTTTAAAAAAAATAGATTTTTATTTTTAATTTTATTTCAATAAATATCATAATAGAACATGAATTTTGGTTGTAAAATTTAAAATATTTGATATTTATCTTTGATTGAAGTATTTTTTGTCTAAATATAACATTTTAAACTTGAGGGGTCTAAGTATTACATGCCTATAAACTTCAAGGAGTTTAAGTGTAATTTACTAATAGATATATAATAGACATTTGATGGTAAAGATCTAAGTGTTACGTACGTATAAATCTCAGAGAGTCGGTGTGTAATATTTCAAATAATAAGCAGGTCTGAATGATTAAGTGACAAATCTCAAAAAATTTGAGTATAAGTTCCCCAAAAAATTTTGCACCCTAACGACTATAGAAATCCCAACAGATATAGAATTCCCAATGGCATGAAGAAACTATTGCCTTCAATTGCATGTAAGAACCCGTAAAAAATGTTTGTTTTGATACAAGATTATTCTGCTTGGTCACGTAACGTTACAAACATGTAGAACCGATACATATATGCTTTCTTGACTGACTTATGTAATAAAATATTGAATTTGACATAAGAGAGGAGATATGCCAAATTTAGCAGTTTGCCAAATTTTATTTTTTTTATCTCAGTTTTTGGCATTTTCGTTGGAGAAGCCTTGCGCGCTAAAAAGTACAGTTGGAACCTCAACCTAGCATCTGATATGCCGGTTGGAGATGCTTTTGTACCCATAATTGAATGATGCTCCAATTTTCTGTAAATGGTAAGAATGTTATTTAAAATAAGTTTTGACGAGTCTAGATCTAATTGACCAGACCTAATAAATCTAGTAAGTCCAAGTCAACCAAAAGGCAAGCCAAGTCCGGTGCATCAATACAACCCAGTCCAAAATTCAAGGAGTCCAAGAATATTAGAGCACGTGTGAGAGATTAACGGGATACCTACTCTTGAAGGTCAAGACTATCATAATTGTATTTACCTTTTGTAACTATCCTCTCTGAAGAATTAGTACCTTCACACTCACGTCATTGCCTTACCATACCTATAAATTGTAAGCTATCTCCATTGAAAGGGCATCTCATTACACATTGAGCTCTACCCCTACATCTATCTACACATTTTCTCTCTGCTAGCTATTGTACTTCTCCTGGAGCACACCTCTCCCAGAGCTCTCTCTCCCTTACCTTATTCATTAATAAAGGCTCACCGGCCACTGTTATCGCTTTTAGAACGAATTAGGTTATTCGGACAGAACCACTATATATCTGTGTGTTAACTCAATATTTACATTATTGTTATTGATTGATTTATTTATTGTCCAGTAATAATACCTTAACACACATTCGACTGTTGATCTTGCATGAGACTATTTTGTGCACCATTAGTTGGGCGCCATCTGTGGAAAACGACTAAGTTTTCTACTACCTCGCTACTCCATGGCAATCACGACCAGGTCGACGAGTCAACAACCGGGAAACAACAACTTGGCCCCCGGGAGGAGGCTCTGCCTCCCTTCGCACCCTCTGAACCATCCATTGTGAAGACTCCAATGGTCAAGCAATAGCTTTTATAGACCATGCAGCTGCTGGTAAACCAGAACCAACAAATCATTCAGCTAATGCTCGCCTTGGGAGGCGTCGCCCCTCTGCCCGTAGGAGGAGCACCACTCCCTCCAACGGGAGAAGCACAACAACTTCTCCATTCTGGGCACCAAGCCACCCTCCACTGTGAAGCCTCGCGACAGAACGCCCCATGACAACGTCCAAGTGCCTCTCGCCCTGGAGTTAGTTCTCAATGCACAAGAAGCTCACATGTTCTCACTCCTCATGTACCTGCAAGGGAGGACGAAGCTGCAAGGGAGGACGAAGGAGAAAGCCAGTATGCCGATCATGAAAGCTAGTACAATAACCCGACGGAGGATGTCCCCAACTAATGGGACGAGAAGATCATAGAGATGCAAAACCAACTCGGTGATGCCCTTAACGCCATCAAGGCACAAGCGCCAAAGACTGTAGATTACCTGGTAAGGCGTACTGACACTTCATTTGTTGTAGATGTTGTTAATTATCACCTTCCCTTAAAGTTCAAGATGCTTGCCATCGAGATCTTCGATGGTACCAAGGACCCTCTAGATCACCTCGACATTTATAAGTCTCTGATGCAACTCCACAATGTGATTGATGAGATCATGAGTAGAGTCTTCCCCACCACCTTGAAGGGTTCTACTCGACAGTGGTTCGCTAAGATCAAACCCTCATCTATCCACTCTTTCGTGAAATTGGAAAACTCTTTCATCTCCTACTGTGTTGGGGGGCACCGACACCAGAAGTCTATTACCCACCTGCTCATCATCAAGCAGGACCAGGATTAAATATTTAAGAGCTACCTCACTCGTTTCAACAAGGAGGCTCTCCAGATCGAGGAGTCAAACGATAAGGTAGCATTGACTGCCTTTATTGCTGGTTTGCGTTCGTCTAGCTTCATGTTCTCTATCCTCAAGAAGCCGCCTTCTAGCATGCCTGAGCTACTATCAAGGGCATAAAAGTACATGAATGTCAAGGACGTCACCATGGCCCGTCGAGGTGAGTCTTCCCGGAGAGGGGAGAAAAGGAAGGACACCCGCGAAGACAAGTGGGAGGCGGAGAACAAGAGAAAGAGATTCGAAAGAGTCTCTATCACGGAATGTCTCAGTCCCTTACACGCGAGAGAATAACAGCCTTTCACGCCATTCAACACCTCGGTGGAGCACATCATATTCCAGATACAGGATGACCCCACACTCTGATGGCTCGAAAAAATTAAGTCCGCCCAAACTTGTAGAAATTTCAGCAGGTACTGTCACTTCCGCTGCGATCATAGCCACTACACTGATGACTGCTATAACTTAAGAGGCAGATCGGGGAGCTCATATAGCATGGCCAGTTGGGGCAATACGTTGCTGGCAGAGGACAAACCCTGCTAGGAAAGCCTCGACCCACCTATGGAATGCCAAACACCTGAAAAGCTATTATCAATAGCAAGTACAAACTAGTGACTCTCATTTTATCTATCCTTTATTGTTTCAGTTGATTTATTCTATTATTTATTATTTTATGAAATAAAATTATGCGAAGATTATTGTGTTCAAAATTGTCTTACTTTCATTTCATAAAGTTTGTAAACAACTTACAAAAGTTAGAACTTGGACCTAACAACAAGGTAGACAAAAAGACAACAGTCGTTATACTCCCGACGATTAGTCACTGCTTCCTAAGGCTATGGTACCTCATATGGGACAAGGCCAAAATCAAGTCAATACCAAAGAAATACCTACGTCGAGGAAGGAAAAAAATATGGGCACCAGATAACATTCCTCCTAAAATCTATCCATGTGAATGCCTAGCCGCTTCTCTATGTTACTCGAGGCATCACCCGAGCGACCCGAGATGCTGGTCGCCGCCTGAGCAACCCGAGACGTAGCTAGAGTGACCTGAGACCTCACCCAAATGACTCGAAGTAGCGCCTTCTCCATCGATGTCTGTGCCTAGTGCATCACCACCACCGAGGCCAGTCTCCCCCTTTGGCATCTCCAACAACCCAGCACCCCACGCCTCGCCTCATTCTGCCTCTACTCTCAAGAAGACAACTTATATCTTCAGCTTCGTGCTCTTTCGCGAGTCGCCAAGAAGCTCGGCCTAATCCTACCTCTACTCTCAAGCAGCCTATTTATCCAGCTTCACACTCTCTCGTGAGTTGCCAATAAGCTCTGCCTGATCTTACTTCTGCTCCCAAGCAGTCTAAGTATCCAGCTTCGTACTCTCTCGTGACCTAATCTTACCTCTGCTCCCAAACAGCCTATGTATCTAGCTTCATACTATCTCGTGAGTCGCCAAGAAGCTCAGCCTGATCTTACTTTTGCTCCTAAGCAGTCTATGTATCCGTGCGAGTCGCCAAGAAGATCGACCTAATCCTACCTCTACTCCCAAGCAACCTATATATCCAACTTCGCACTCTCTTGCGTGTCACCAAAAAGCTTGGCCTGATCTTACTTCTGCTCCTAAGAAGCCTATGTATCCAGATTCTCACTCTTTCTCGGGTCACCAAGAAGCTCGACATGATCTTACTTCTACTCCAAAGTAGTCTATGTATCTAGCTTTGCACTCTCTCGCGATTCACAAAGAAGCTCGGCATAATCCTACCTCTGCTCCCAAACTGTCTATGTATCCAGTTTCGCACTCTCTTGAGAGTCGTCAAGAAGCTCGGCCTAATCCTACCTCTACTCCCAAGCATCCTATGTATCTAGCTTCGCACTCTCTCAAGATTTGCCAAGAAGTTCGACCTAATCTTACCTCTACTCTTAAACAACCTTAGCCTCCAGCTTTGCGGCCCTCTTATGGGATGTCCGCAGCCCTGACTCTACTCTTGCGCAGGTAGTCTTTTTATAAGCCTCTGTTATGACAGCCCTCTCCCGAGTTATTCATAGCTTGGCCTCAACTCCTACGACCTTCCCACGGGACATTCGCAACCCTAACTCTGCTTTCATGCAGACAGTCTTTTTATCAGCCTCCAAATCCCCGACCCTCTCATTGGATGCTAAAAAGCTCAATCTTAATAGGTGTTACTTTCTCATGAGTGAACCTCAACTGCTCTCAACAGGCCCTCGTGCATGCCTCTCTATTACTAGATGTCTGAATGCCTCTCCAAGTTTCAATGTCCTTGAAAAAGGCAGGGAAAAACGACAGCCACTTGCAAGCATTCAAAAAGCAGAATATGAAGGAAATGAGGTGAGTACAAAATCAAAGTTGATAATACCCTCTGGATTTCGAGATCCAACCTATCTGATATCCTCGAAAGTTACAAACCTTCAAAGTTGTTCCTTGGCCAAAGTCACATTGAAGCATGAACCCCAAGTCCACTAATAGAAGCAAGGTAGCTAGGTGAAGCTGTAGTCCCTGTAGAAACCGCACTGGAGTCTCAACTCCTACAGTGGTACAAAAGCTAGTTCTAGAACACACAAAAGTCACAGTTTGGAAAAGAGTGGGGGCACCACCGGATCTCGTCCCCGAGAAGCAACCTAGCCATCAAACGTTGACCGAAAAGCACTGGAGGCATCAAACCTAACCCTTTTAGGAAGAGGAAAAAATGTCACCCTAAAAGCATAAAGAGCCTCTATCATCGTTATGTTAACGGAACGCCTATAATCAGAGAAAATGGTCGAGAACTAGCATAGTCAAAAGCCATCATGGTCTTCCTGTCTAGCAAAAACCCAGAAATGCCAACCCGTCGCTCATGAATGTCTGATAGTTACCTGCCAGAACGCAGCTTCCTATCACTATCGATTTCACTAATTTGTGTTTAAAACTCAAATTCAGAGAGAAAGAATCATTTTTTGGGAAAATTTGCTACCTAAACCACCTTCGGGAGTTTAAATGTCGTAGATTTGGAAAAAATACCCAGATTCAAAAAACAATTCTCCTTAAACAGGCAACCGAGCACAAAGTTACGGTCGTTCAAAGTTTTACCATTTTTTTTTGATTTTCTAATACTTTAATTGGCTCCCCAACCTCCAAAGCGTCGCCCATACCACATACATCCTTTGGTGTCACCCAGGGCTCCATGGTGTCGCCAATACCTGATTCTACTCCAAGGCGTTGCCTCCTGCTCCAAGCCAGCGCCAACGCCAGCAGCTAGCCCCTAGGTGCCCATGCTAGACAGCACCAACCAGCGCCCAAGCAAATACGATCAGGCCAACGCGAATGCATCCATATTCATGTAAATTTTACTGATGTAATCATTAGATACGATTAGGACAATTGAATGTTGTTCAACATCTGATAAGGTGGCATGGTTTAGTTATTGACGTGTGGCAGACCTAAGCAAGAGGACATATTGAAAGATATGGGAAAAAGAAAAAAAGTGAGGTGGAAGGTTGAGCATTGTAGCGCCTTAGTTGCCCCCTTCATGGGTTGCATTTGAAACACAGAAATGAGAATGGACACGGGGCTGTTAACTATAGCACTTCAGCAAACTGATACCCACGACATATATCATAAAGATTTGAGGTGTCCGGATGTGCTATACTGCTGAGAAATGTTTTCTTACATCTTGCTTTATCCAATATTTGTTGGGTTGATAAAAATGAGAGAATAATGATGACCTCTCTATGTTGCTCGTGGGTAATGGTGTGTATATTTTTCTAAGGCAGGGGCCGCCAGCGCCTAGGCTGGCGTTGCCCACCTCGTTGTCGACCCTGTCATGCTGCGAGACGATTTCTTGAGCGCTGTCCCTGCCTCTTACCTCTCCTGTGATGTTGCCACTGAGGGTCTCGCCCAAATCATGGACTTTGGCGTCGCCCAGCATCTCCCCAAAGCTGCCCAGCGGCTGATTCCATGCACTGGCATTGCTCGGCTCCTCTACCGATGGGTTTTTCTTACAATACCATCCATGGGATACCTTTTTTCCAGTCACGATCTCTAGTGAAAGATTCACAACTCTCAAGGGACAAGCTCACAGGAAGAAAAATAAAGAAAGAGGAGTTCAATGAAAACTAGCCTCTTAAGGCCCTAGAAGTGGGCTTTAAATACGGGAGGTTGAGATCTCCTTTGAGTGCATAGTAAATATTTAGTAACAAAGTGAAGAAGATGAACTTCGAAGGTATGCATAAAGGAAAAGATGAAGAAGCTACCATGCAAAACAAGCCACCCGAAATAGAAGACTCGTTTATGCCCGCAACCCCTTCACCACCATCAAGGCTTAGGGCATGGAGGGCAAATGACGAGTCCAGATCTAACTGGGCGAGTCCCAATAAATCTAGCAAGTCCAAGTCAACCAAAAGGTAGGCCAAGCCTGGTGCTTCAATCCAACCCAATCCAATATTCAAGCAGTCCAAGAATATTAGAGCACATGGGAGAAAGATTATCGGAATACTCACTCTCGAAGGTCAAAACTATCATAATTGTACTTACCTTTTGTAACTATCATCTCCCAAGAATTAGTACCCTCACACTCACATCACCGCCTCGCCATGCCTATAAATTGTAAGCTCTCTCCATTGAGAGGGACATCTCACTACACATTGAACTATACTCCTACATCTCTCTACACACTTTCTCTCTCCTAGCTATTGTACTTCTCCTAGAGAACACCTCTCGCAAAGCTCTCTCTCCCTTACCTTATTCATTAATAAAGGCTCACCGGCCACCGTTGTCGCTTTCAGAGCAGAGTAGGTCATCTGAACCGAACCATTATATATCTGTGTATTGACTCAATATTTACATTACTGTAATTGATTTATTTATTTATTATCCATTAATTATATCTTATCACACACTCGACTATTGATCTTGTACAAGACTATTTTGTGCATCATCAAATTTCAAATTTTAAAATATCAAATAAATTAAGTAAGTTGATGTGGATGGACCCTTACCATTCAAAAAGATATAGAAGGTTCTCCGATCATTTGAGAATTAGAGGCTAGCTGAATCCATATAGAAGTACTTTCTTTCAGGTACAAGTGTTCCTATCCATAATAAAAAGGATAAATCCCACAATTGCCTCCTAAACTATAATCTTTGTTTTAAATTGCTCCATCAACTTTCAATTTTTTTTTAATTTACCCCCTCATCTATTTGAATGGTTTTAATCACCACCTTTTGTTAAAATCGGTCGCCAGATTAGAATGAAACCCAACATGTGATATACACGTGATAATTGGTGGGGCCATTTTTGGCACCTCAAAAGCTGATGCCAATTTTTCATATAGAGGTACTTTCTTCAAGCTACAACTCCTCCCCTCCATAATAAAAATGGTAAATCTCATAAATTCCTTGTGAGCTATAGTCTTTATTTTAAATTGTTCCCTCAACTCTCAATTTTTTAAAGATTTTTTTAGAGGTTGGTCTCCAAGTTTAATAGGATTCTAAAAAAAAATCACTTAACCATTTTTTTTTTTAATTAGATCCATGTTGAAAAGTCAAAGAAATAAACATAATTAATGCTCTTAAATATTACATAAAATAATAACAATGACATCACCAAATATAAAAATAAAATAAAATAAAAACGTATATGTTATCATAGTGTACCTTTTCTATACTAACACACTCAGTCATAAGGGACACTAAACTAGGATGAGTTTCTCTCGTTAACGTACACATTAAATGACAATTTACAGATATAATAACAAATATTTATTAATATGTATCTACCCATACATACATCGCGAAGAGACGTTTGGACTGTAAAGACATCTCTTCGATTTACTAAGCAATTAACACCATTATAAACATAAAATTAAACCTCTTCAACAACCACATCAAATTTCCTCCATAAATAGACATTAAAAAACCAGAACAATGCATGGAAAAAAAAAATGGAACAGCAGGGCAACAACGAAGAGAGTCTAACATCCACATGCTTAACGATTTTCTGAACGAAGCCCATGCGAAACAAGATCTCATGCAGCAAGAAATAACCATGCTAGAATCCCAACTCTACTCCAACAAACAATGCGACAATTGGAAACGACTTGCGAAAAAATATATCAACAAGTTTAAGGAGGATATGAAATAGAACAAGAAGTTTGAGACAGAGTGGAAGGACCTCAAAAAATGATCATCTTCTCTATTTTTTCTTTTTTTCAAAAAACGAAAAATCCACACATGTAATATCTCTTTTGGGAATGAACTTTTAAAGAGCACTGCTGGATACTTTAAATTTGTATACCAAAGTAACCACGTGGAAAGACATGTGTCTTTGGATTGTGTACCTATACTATTCATAGACACGTGACAAGTTCATCAAAAAAAATGTGTAAAAATATAATATATTTGAAATTCAAAAAATATGTGCGTAAATGACAGTATTTCCTAACCCATAAGCATTCAAAACAAAAAACCCCCCCAAAAAAAATTCCTCAACCTATTCTCGTTCAACACTAAAGGTATTCTATACATATCCCAAATAGTGCACTTAGACAGTTGAATATATCGGAGGAAGTTCAACCAATAGATACCATATAAAAAACCAATCAATCATTTTAGTACATTGTTATTGTACCTACTATCTTCCATTCGTTTTACCCTGATCAAAAACTAAGGCCTCATTTGGTTAGCATTTTTATTTCGTGTTTTGTGCTTTTGTTTTCATTTTTTGAGAAAAATAAAAATAAAAAACATGTTTGGCTTTGTGTTTTTGTTTTATATAAAATAAGTTGCTTTGGAAACAAGGCCTAAAAACAAAGAACAAAAAAAAAAATGTTCCAAGAAACAAGAGAAATAGAAACGACACGTGCAAAGGCCGGGGAGAATTAATGAAATTCAGGCTTCGAGTCTTCTTACCAGCAAAACACTGTTTTTTTTTTGTTGAAGGATAAAAACCAACTTCATCATTTCTCTCTCTCTCTCTCTCTATCCTCTTTTGTATCACAAACCATCGTTGCCTCTGCCTCTCCATCGCTACCTTTGTCTCTCCATCATTGCCTCTCCCTCTCTCTTTCGCTACCTCTATCTCTCCATCGATGCGTCTCCCTCACTACCACTTCGTCTCTTTCGCTATCTCTCCCTCTCTCCATCGTTGCCTCTCCCTCTCTCCATTGTTGCCTCCATCATTGTGGGTATGTAGATCTACATCGATGTGTATGTGTGTGATTTCTAGGTCTTTGTGTGTGTGTCTAATTTCTGTGTGGGTATTTTTGTGTGTGTGAATTCTGTGTGTGGGTGTGTGTGATTTCGCTGTGTGTTTGTGTGTGTGTGAATTCTGAGTGGGTATGTGTGGATTCTGGGTGGGTTCACTATGTGTGGGTGTGTTTTGTTATGTTGTAGAGAAGACAAAGAGAAAGAGAATAGGGGGGAGAAAGGGATATCTGCTATGGGTCTGTGTGTGTGTGTGAGTTTGGGTTTTTTTTTTTTAGTTTAATTTTTTCTGGCAACAATGGAATTTTTTTTTATTTACAATGGAATGTATTGCTATGTTATAACAATGGGATTTTGAGTTGATTTTTGTAGCAGGAAATAATATAAAGCTCAATATTGGAACATAATTTGAAGTGGTTACTAAGCATTTTTTTTATTTTTATTTTTATAATTTGGTAAACACAAATAACTTCTAAATGTGTTTTTTATTCTCAATGTTTACCATAAAACAAAACAAAAATTGTCTCTGTTTTTAATTTTTTTGAAAACATGAAAATAAAAACGTTGTCAAATGACCCCTAGGGTTTCAATAAAATACAACTCAATCCGTACTAGGTTTTTTTTGCTATGTATTTTGTAATGTACCTATACCACAAATATAACTATACAGAGCTACTCCCTCATTTTGTTCTTTTTTTTTGCATGTACATGTAGCTTAAATCTATTGTGCCTATGCTATGTACATGAACGACAACCAAGAATACAAAACTTTCGATCAAGTAGAATAGAATTTCATTTAAATAAAAAACTTGAATTTTAGTGTACTTGTATGTACTCATAGGTACACTTTTAATGTACATACTTATTATCATTCGATTATTTCGCTAGCTGTTTTAGTAATGTACCTATTATCTCATTACAAAATTCTTCATACGTAGTACTATCATTTAGAGTAACAGTAAAAGCAATTGAAGATTTGAATCAAACTTATACCTCACAATCACAATTCCTTCCATCCCATATAAAACCGAATAAGTGTATAAACCGTCAAAACAAATACACATGTAAAATATGTATATACACAGGTAACCACAACTTATCAAAAATGGAGATACTTAACCATCATCATCAAATCTAAATAGTGAATATGGAAGGTAATCACAATAAAAAAAATGCATAAACCGAACGCAACCTGGAACGCAACAAATCTATAGACATTTAAATAGATACCTTACATATCATATACGAATAATAGAAAAAATACATCAAAATTGGCAACAGGTACATAAACAGAAACACAAAAATAGCATTAAACAAAAATGATTACACAAGTACATTTTACTTCACATATGTTACTAATTATGTGCATTACATATCCAACATGCATAAAAAAAAACAGGTACATTATACGAATAAACTACATCAATATTCCATTAAGTATAGGTACATCTACACACTATAGGTACACAATTACACAAATAAATCATATTGAACATGTAGCTATAAATATAAGGGCCTTCTCCATGTAAAGGCATCTAAAAAAATCCAACAAATGAGGTAGAGTGTAACCCTATCTTCTTCTCCGACCAATATAGAGCATTGAATGAGCAAGATATTTTATTAGAGTGAATTAGTCAAACTCTTTAACTAGTGAACCACTATAGCTTGTGTGTTTTTTCCTTTTCCCAGCTCTTACCTCTGTCATCCAATTAGTGTAGCACATCACAGAGCCATCAGGCTCAATCACCAGATTGATGTCACATTCATTGTTCACTTTCACACTACTGCACACAAGCACACTTTGAGTGCAAAACATCATGAATTACTAATTCAATGACTACAATAAATTAGTCCAATATATAAAATTAACAAATTAAATCTAAATAGTATTATTATTCTTTTGTCAAGACCGAAGGAATCAGCACTACTGAACAAGAAACTGTTATCCATTCAAAAGGTTTCTGAGGTTCACACTCGGGATTGCCCCACCAGCTTTATCTTTTACGAGAAAAGAAAAGAATCTACACAAACAGCCACAACTTTTCTTAATATAGGAATATAAAAAGTGACAAGACCAAATACAGAACTTTGTCCTAATGGAATTGAGTTTTCCCACTTCAATATCATAATCTTCATGATTTAGTGGGAACATGAAGAGAATTTTCATATTCAGACTACCATTTTGAAGAAACGCACAAATAGGCGGAGCCCAGAAGGGGCCAAGGAATCCGTGGCCAACCTTAAATAAATTTCTGGCTCCCCTCTGTACACGCACCATATTTAAGAGCTGTAGCCAGTGTGTGTGTGTGAGAGAGAGAGAGATGGGGAACAATATAGGAGGAAGGAAGAAAGCCAAGGTGATGAAAATCAACGGCGAAATCTTCAAGCTAAAGGCTCCAATATCAACCTGGGATGTAGTTAAGGACTTCCCGGGTCACGTATTATTGGAATCAAATTCAGTTAAGCAGTACGGCATTAGAGCAAAGCCATTAGAGCCACAAGAAGAGTTGAAGCCCAAGAAAGTTTATTTTCTAGTGCAACTGCCTAAGATGCCTGAGGAGAAGGTCCCAAGAAGGGCGCGATCAGGTGTGCACATGAGCGCGAAGGACCGGCTTGAGTGCCTGATGTTGTCCCGGAGATCAGTTTCCGAGCTTTCGACTATCAGACCGACGACTCTCGTGTCCGGTTTACCTGGACCGAGTTCCGGTTCTGTTCAGGTTAAGATGAGGCTACCAAGGGCCCAAATGTCTAGATTGGTTGAAGAAAGCAGAGATGAAGCAGAGGTGGCTGAGAAGCTCATAGACCTTTATGTCAAGAACGCCGATGAAGCCGATAGCATAGCACCGGATGGAGAAAGCAATTTGGGGCACAGGCAAGTTCAGAAGAGGCCTGGTCTTGATAGCATTAGAGAAGGCTGCAAAGACCCTGAGGTTTCTTTGATTTGAATTGCACTAGTTATTCAGAATTGGGGTCTGAGAATTGTTAAAGATTGGACAAATGGGTACCAAATATTGTGCCAAGAACTGTTATATTGATTTCAAGTATTGCCTTTAGGCTCTAATTTACTATGCACTGGGCACCCCAAATGATCTGCTATTTGATAAGTTGAGCTCGAGTTTAGTAGTAGGAAGAATTAGATACATTCATTTAAAAAAAAAATTATAATCACCAAAAAAAAAAAAAGATTTGCAAGGTCCGCAAGGTCGTGGCTAAGCCTGTCAATCGATCCGATCTTATTCGAATCAAAATATGATTAGCTAGATATGATTAACATTTTTTTATCAATAATTTGAATCTAATACCTTATATTTTAGGAATTTGAATTTGGATACACCTATATTCGATCTAATCTGATTCGAATTATTTATATATTTATGTATAAATATTAAAAAAATTAAGTGATTATTTTAAAAAAATAGTTAAAATTTAGGTATAATTTGTTTAAATTTAGTTAATTAAGTTATTTGGATTGAATCGAATTTTCGAATCGGGTTCCGAATTGTTAACGGATTCGAATATGTACAAAAAAATAAAAAATCTATCAAATTGTCGAATCGAAGTTTGAAATCAAATTCGAATTCAGATCATTCAAAATTCGTTCTAAACTTGATTCATTGACATACGTAGTCGTGGCTGGGGGTCTTTGTGGAAGCCAGTTTTCAATAATCAGCTGTGCAGTTTCAGAATCTTTGTATTGACTGGAATGTTATTTGGAGTCTGAATAGATTGGTCAAATATTTTTTTAGAATGGTACTTGCGAGTTTTCTACCTCACACGGGTCGACCAATGTTTCTTTTGTCGCCTAATATGTCATTTGTAACTGAATGAGATATTTCATTGATTTTATCCCACATTTCGGGTTTACCAAAGCTAGAAATTTTGGACAAAGTCCTTGGCTGATGAGTGATGCTGTTTTTAAGGTTATGTGAAGTGAGCTATCTAATTACTTTGATGAACGCCAATCATACAAACAAAAACGCAGACTTTAACGAATTTGGCGAATAAAGAAAAAACAAGTAAAATGGGCATAAAAGCACGTTATATATGTGGTTTATATCAAAGGTAATTCATTGGTTCACAACTCAATTTTACTATATTATTTTGAGAAAATATTATTTTTGAGGATAGTTTGTTGATAGTTGATAACGTATTTAGTACGACAGAGCAGAGATGGGAGATTGATGGATATTGAGCAACTCAGTCTGAGCTCTTAGGCTCCTAAGATTTGGGTAAGGGAATGGGGTTTAATACACAGAAAGTTTATAGTGGTTTACCAGCTCACAAGCTCAACTAATCTACTCTTAAAAGAGTTTCTTGCTCCTTGGGCTTCTATTAATAAATAAATGAGATTACAGAGAGTTATTCTGATTACAATTGCTTTTCTGTTCATTCCTAGGGGTTATGCCCCTTATTTATAGTTTATCTTGAGCCTTGTTTGACCTTTGGTGGATCCTTACTCCTCCTTGAAACGGTTGCTACTATCCTGCAAAGGTTATGGAGGGTGTTGGCATAGTTGCAGTTCTTCTGTCTGGATATGCGACGGTTACTATCTGGGTGGTGCTTGGGTGGAGGCCAGATATCTTTTGCGCTATCCTCCTTGAGACGCAGCTACAGAGATGGGAGGTCTGACCTCGAGCTCCATGGGCATGCAAAGTGAGATGGTCTCCCGATCTAGGAAAGCATGACCTGCATTACCGAGCTCATCCTTGAGCATATTTAAGGTATCATCAATAGTCATTACCTTATGCCTTAAATGGAGAAATAAGTGGACGATGACATTATCATAATCTAAATTTTACACCAATAATTAATTGAGTTTTGGATTTAATGAGTCAAACGAATTTTTATAATAGCACAGTATGGTAGTTGATTTTGAAAGGTTTTACATAACTAAAAATTTGTCATTAAAGATACTAAGTGACTAATCATGTTGAATCAAATTATTGACTATGACGTTATTTAGTCCCCTCAATATAGAATCTTAATTTCGTCTGTGAATGAAATGTGTTTCGTAACTTCATTACATATTGATGGTGTAATTTACGTGGTCGTGTAGTAAAGCTTGGGGCTCAAAAGGGGAAAAATGGATTGGAGATTTGTAAGAGGCATTAATGGAGTTACTAGAATACCTAGTCAGAGCTACTAGACTTTCGATGTTTAAACAATCGACAAAAGACTAATAATCAAGAATGAAAATCAATAGACATATGGTTTATAGTGGTTCAATAGCTCAGAAGTTTGGCTAGTCCACTCTAATGGAGTCTCTTGCTCTTGGGAGAGTTTTGTATTGCTTGGGGAAGACGATTACAATGCTCTTGAGAGTCAGTTTTCAAATATTCGATGATTTACAATGTGAGGGATTGATCCCTATTTATTGTGTAAGAGCATAGTCCTAACATAATCAGTGTCAACCCTTTGAGATTGTTATGACCTATGTGATGGAATATTTGGCCATTGGAGGCTATATTCCCTAAGCATAACATGGCCTTCTAGAAAGTGTGAGTTGTCGCTATCATAGTGTGCATGAGGGTCACGTTGGTGCTGACACTCGATCTGCAGTTCTCAAACTAGAAATCATGAGCTGGGAGGTTTAAACTGAGGTCAAGAGCTAGGAGGTCAAAGCTGGGGTCACTAGCTGGGCAGTTGGGGATTAGGACCTTAGCATGTTCACCTGACCTTAGTTGCCTCGAATTAGAACCCAAATTTTGACGTTATCATGCCAACCCCTATTAAGGGCATGTTTTTGAGCTACTTTTGGACCGAGCTTAACCTTGGATTATTTTTTGTATAAGCACATTTCAAATGAAGGTATGAGAGACAGAAACAATTAAAATTGGTGAGGACATAACACTGACTTCCAAATTTTGTTTATTTTCAAAACTTCTAAGTAGAATGATGTGGCGTATTAGCATCCTTTTATTTCAAAACAAGGGATTGTTTGACAATTCTTATTTAAATTTATTTTGTGAAATATTTTTATTCCTAATATTGTATTGGGTGGGGATATTCTCATCCCATTTAATTTTTTATTATCAAACTAATAAACTCACCCCTTCTATACCCACCCCATTAGTAATTAAACTCACCCCATGCTACATACACTCTTTTAATATGTAAACTCACTTTATATTTTATCATAATTAGGATTTCAGTCTCAATCTCATCTCATGCACTCACAAAAATATTTTTTCAATATGAATTTTTTTTAGTAAGATACAAGTTAGTATTACTTCTCAATTTAATTATATATTTGATTTCATGTTTGTTGTATGAATTTTCATTAGTTTCAGTATGTTTTGATACCTCTGTGAAGTTTAATAAGTTTTTATTTAAAATTTGTGTGTGTGTGTATATATATATATACTTTCAGATTATTTGTCATTTTTTTTTATCTTGTTTAGACTTTAATTAGAGTTTTTCATCAAATATCTACCGATAGCACTACATTCTGTTACATGACCTACCGATAGAACATTGATCACCTACAAGTAGAACCTTGATCTTCAAATCCTCGTAGCTTCTTTTACCAGTAGAATACCAATTCACCTACTAGCAAAACATATTCCAGAGAGCCCCGTTATCGATAGAACATAGAACCACTTATCAGTAGAACACATTCTGGAGAACCTTTCTTCTGGTAGAACCTAACTTCTCCTATTGGTAATTTACACATTGTCTTTTTTCCTACCCTTAGAACCCAACTTCTACTGATAGATTCTTCATTTTAGCACCTTCCTATTGGTAGATTTAGTATTGATAGAACATGTACTTCCTGAATTTCTTCTCTAAAGCCTCCGGTTTCATTTCTAATGGATCATCCTCAACTCTAACTTGTCCAAAAAACCATTATCATGATGCTCCATATCTACCTTTAAATTTAGGGTCACACCCTAACTGACTTGGGTGCATAATGGTGGTCTTGGTGGCACCTTGCACCAAGGCACGCCATGAGAATGAATCAAGGTGATGCGGCTAAGGGTTAAACAGGTTGGTGCGGACCGTGGTAGCATGAGACCACCTGGCTGAGCATGGCAGCACATGGTGGGATCAATTGAGGCAATGTGGGTACATTGCTTCGAATTGCATGGCATGGGATAGACCCAGCATGCATAATGGTTCGTGAGACATGGTTGACTGTTGAATATGGGCACATGACTGCTTAATGCATGTGACCAAGAGGATGTGGGCAATTATTGATGCATGACTCAGTCAATGCAATTCTAGGCATTCTTAGCCATATTCTGGTCTAGGTGCATGTTGATAAGGGACAGTTTCACACCAATTGTTGAATGTGTGGAACTGCCTACCAGGTGTCGCATAGAGAAGGAGTCTTACTGACTAAGTCTGCTAGGGAATGTGTAATAGTCCCTTGGCAGATGGGGGTGTCATTTTCCATGCTCCTTGTATAAATAGGGGTGCTTGGGCATTCTAGTGAGACAAAGAATGTTCTTGCTTTGAGTTTCTTGTAAATTGTAGAGAGCTTCAATATATAAGGTTTGAGAGTATTGTCCCAGTAAATTCTTGTGTGCCTTTGTGTGAGTTTGTGTGTCCTTATTCTTGAGTTTGTGTGGCTGATTGCAGTGGCAACGCCGTCACAGGTATCCTTGAAAGAAAAAATGAGTTGTTACCCCATGACAGTTTGGTATCAGCGCGTTGGTTTTGGCAAAAAGATCGACCTATGGCTAGCGGAACGAATGCAGATTTGAGGGAAAGGGTGGCACATTTGGAGGAGTTGGTTGGTCCTCCCCAATCCGATGATGTTGTAGCCCTTTCTGTGCAGCTTGAATTACTGTACCAGCAGTTCGAGGAGATACATGTTGCACAAGAACGACTTCAAAAGGCTAAATCTGATAACTTCAGTTGGTTGAAAAATGAAGTCATTGATGTGTTGGCCACAGTTTCTACATGGATTGATGGTATGTGGGAAAAACTAAGTTCCCTTGAGATGGATGTCTTGTTGCTCAAGAAAACATAACAGAATGCTTATTTAGCTTCTGGCAGTGAAAAGCATGCAGAAAGCAAAGGTGTCTGACCCTAAGCCTTTCACAGGCAGTCGCAATGCCAAAGAACTTGAGAACTACTTGTGGCATTACTATAAAGCAGTCCGTACCCTGGATGCTGAGAAAGTAAATCTCAATAGCATATACCTATCCGATGATGCTAATTTATGGTGGCGAACATGATCCTAGGATAAGTCTTGTCTGCAAATCACTACTTGGGATGCTTTGTGTGCTGAAATGAACTAGTAATTCCTTCCAAGTAACATGGTTTGACAAGCTCATGATGCCTTGAGAAAGCTTCGACATACAAGCACTATAAGGGAGTACATGAAACAATTCTCGTCTCTGATGCTTGATATAAAAAATATGTCAGAGGAAGATAACTTATTCAACTTCATGTCTAGCCTTCAAACTTGGACGTAAGCTGAACTTCGTCGGCAAGGGGTGAAGGATTTATCCGGCTACTATGTTCGCAGTTGATGCGTTGGTTGATTACAAGAAGCATGCTAACCCCCCGAAGAAAGAGTCTAAAGGGAAAGTCAAGTTTTCCAAGAAGGACAAGTAGAAGAAGAAGGCCGAGAAGTCAGCCAGCATAGAAAAACAGATTGATAAACCCTCTATGTCAAAAGGAGGCGTTGACTTAGGCTGTTTTATTTGTGATAGCCCTCATCATGCCAAAAATTACCCCAAGAAGGAAAAAATCAATGCCCTCATGGTTGAGGATACTGAATTTTTAGGTGAGCCAACACAAGTCAATCAATTGTAGCTCATTAATGCAATTCGCAAAGAGGAGACGGTAGTAAGGAGGGGGTTGATGTTCGTGCAAATTCGTTTGAACAATATGGCTGTTTAGGCAATGATTGATACAGGTGTGACCCATAACTTTATTTCTGACCATGAGGTGCAGTGGCTTGGCTTGGCCTTGACGA